CTGGGGACACAGGGATCACACCCTGGCACAGGGATCACACCCCTGGCACAGGGATCATACCTTTGGAGTGTGTTCCCCTTTATTGGGGAGTGTCCCTGACTGATTTCCACGCAGTTCCAAATGACAACATTTGTTCCAGAACATGAGTTTCAAATCCCACGTGGGATTCGCATCCCTGCCACCCAGGGAGGGACCGGCTGGGGTGAAGGGCTCAGAGGATCCCACTGACACTGGGACATTCTGGGAGCTGGGAATGGGGGTTCCTGCCATTCCAAGGGGAATTCTGGGTCCCTCAGGACAAAAGGGACAGCTCAGGGCTGGCAGCAGGATGGAGAAACCCAGGATCTCAGCAGGCTGGAAAAGCTCAGGATCCAAGCAGGGTGGAAAAGCCCAGAAACACAGCAGGATGGACAAGCCCAGGATCACAGCAGGATGGAGAAACCCAGGAGCCCAGCAGGATGGACAAGCCCAGGATCCCAGGAGGATGGACAAACCCAGGAGCACAGCAGGGTGGACAAGCCAAAAATCCCAGCAGGCTGGAAAACCCCAGAAATACAGCATGATGGAGAAATCCAGGATCCCAGGAAGATCCCATCCTCTCAGGAATGTGCCCTGCAGCACAGGGAGCTGCAGCACACAGTGTGGGAGTGACTCCAACCCAGCATCTGAAATAACAGCAAGAATGACCCAAACCAAGCCCTGAGATGCAGAAATGAGCCAGAAACACCTGAACCTGCCCTCAGCACCTGCAGGGGGAGAATGTGACACCTCCAGCAGCTACAGCTGGTGCAATTCCACAAGGAATGTGCCTCCAGGGGATGCAGTGTGTGTGCTTTGAGGGACTGATGCCCATAGATCTGCTGTGGATCCCTGGGGCTGCTCCAGTCCTGGGAGATGGGATAACTGGGAGGGAAGTGGGTTTGGTTCTCTTTTCTTCTCTTTTGGGACACAAACTCAAAATCCTCAGAACCAGCACCACCCAAGGGTAAATCCCAACCACACCAGCCCAGCTGCTGCTCCCCATGGCCATGGAAAAGGTAAAATTTCAATCCAATTCCAGCAGGCTGGACACAGCCGAGTGTGGGAATCTTTAAAGGGACTTTTTGCCGCAGCGAGTTCCTCTCTTAAGACATGAGTTCCTAGCACACTTAGACCTCTAGTTACCATTTTACCCCAATACCATGTATTTACTGCAGAAACCAAAGTGCAGTCAGGCCAAACATGCTCAGCTCTTGGCCCTGAGCAGCCTCCCCTGCCTTCCCTGAAAGGTTTTTTCACTCCCATCCTGCCTGAGCATGGGGAATGTGGAATTTAAGCTCACTTAAAGACCACCTGAGCTTGGTTTTGTCAGGTGAGTCCCTCATTCCCAGCCCTGGGAATGAGCTGATGCTCTTGGCATTTGTTTTTGGCAGCTCCCAGGTCACGTAGCAACCTCTGTCTCAGGTTACCTCCGGGGGTTTTGTCTGCAAATACATTTTAATCCTTGTGAAACGGGACCCACCAGCACGTGGGTGAAGTGCCTAAACCTCCTTCAGTCCCACGTAGTGACACCAGCACAGCCTCCTGGCCCTCTGTATGTTTGTGCCACCAGGGTTGTTGTCACCTTCTGCTCCTGTGCTTGGTGGTTTTTTACCCAAAACTTGGATTTTTTAACCTCTTTTCTGAGATACTTAATGGAGGAGCCAGGAGAGGATTCTCCTCTCCCTGGGTACCACACAGGACCTGCTTCTCCATCAAGGAGCTTCCAGTTCTGCACAGGGCATCCTCCTGAAAAAAGAAATTCA